ATAGCCAACCTGCCTTGCAGCTCACGAGAGTATATGCATCTTCACTTGGATAGGGTATATATATTGGTACTCTCCTCTAGTTTATTAATGGTTTGTTCTTCCCAGGATCTAATTCACGGGATCTCCGATCACATAGACTGGGTTACCACCATAGTATAACTCACATGGGTCTCAAACCCATCTCCTTCGATGCATTGTCTATCACATTTCGTGATAGTCCCTTCGTGAAGGGATCTGCCAGGTTTCTCGCTGTTTGGATGTAATCCAACGTTATAACTCCGGAGTTTCTTAATTTCCTGACAGACTTCAATCGTCTTTTCACATGTCTAGACGATTTCATATTATCCTTAGAACTATTCACTTTGACAATTACCGTTTGATTGTCACAGTTCATAAGGATAGCCGGCACCGGTTTTTCAACAACAGGCAGATCCATTAATAGATCACGCAGCCATTCTGCCTCAACAGTAGCAGTATCCAGTGCCGTTAGCTCTGCTTCCATGGTTGACCTCGTCAAAATTGTCTGTTTGCAAGACCTCCATGAAACAGCACCACCACCCAGTGTGAAAACATATCCACTAGTGGCTTTGATCTCATCCACATCAGAGATCCAGTTAGAATCACTATAACCCTCCAGTACCGCAGGATACCCAGTATAGTGAAGCCACAATTCCACAGTACCTTTCAGATAGCGCATTACTCGCTCAAGCGCACGCCAGTGATCATCTCCCGGATTAGAAGTAAATCGGCTCAACTTGCTCACAGCAAAGGAGATATCAGGCCTAGTTGCACTAGCCAGGTACATCAACGAGCCAATGATTTGGGAGTATTCCAGTTGATTCCTAGCAATTCTCTTGTTCTTGCGAAGCAACAAGCTAGGATCATAAGGTGTTGGAGAAGGCTTACTATCAATATAGCCAAAGCGATTCAAGATCTTCTCCACATAATGGGACTGCAAGAGAGTAATCCCATTCTCACCTCTAATTAGCTTAATGTTTAAGATAACATCAGCTACTCCCAAATCTTTCATATCAAAATTTTGAGACAAGAATGATTTAACCTCATTTATCACCTCAAGGTTTGTCCCAAATATCAGTATGTCGTCAACATACAAGCACAAAATAACTCCCTCACCCCCACCATGGCGATAGTACACACATTTATCTGCCTCATTGACTGCAAAGCTTGCAGATGTCAATGTTTTGTCAAATTTCTCATGCCATTGCTTAGGAGCTTGTTTCAGACCATACAAAGACTTCAACAATTTGCACACTTTGCCTTCTTGACCTTCAACTACAAACCCATCAGGTTGATCCATATAGATCTCCTCATCCAGCTCTCCATTAAGAAAAGCTGTCTTAACGTCCATTTGATGAACGAGAAGACCATGTGAGGCTGCTAGGGAAAGTAGCACACGAATTGTGGTCAATCTAGCAACAGGTGAGTAAGTGTCAAAGAAATCTTCGCCTTCTTTCTGAGTATAGCCCTTAGCAACAAGCCGAGCCTTGTACTTTTCAATAGTACCGTCAGGCCTAAGCTTCTTCTTGAACACCCACTTGCACCCCACAGGTTTACACCCATAGGGTCGCTCTGTCACCTCCCAAGTCCCGTTAGCGATAATGGAATCCATTTCACTATGGACAGCCTCCTTCCAGTAGTCTGCATCAGGAGATGCATATGCTTCTGAAATTGACTTAGGAGTGTCATCCACGAGGTACACAGTGAAATCATCACCAAAAGACTTAGCCGTCCTTTGTCTCTTACTCCTTCGAGGAGCTTCACTGACATCCTCCTCAGAGACAAGTTCATGTGTATGTTCAGTTTGTTCTGGTGGTGTGATTGAACTGGGAATTATTTCAGAGGGTTGGTTCGAACCATTATGTGTATCCTTCATTGGGAAAAAGCTCTCAAAGAAGGTAGCATCACGAGACTCCATAATTGTACCAACATGCATGTCCGGTACCTCGGATTTAACTATTAAAAATCTATAGGCAATGCTATGATGAGCATATCCCAGAAAAACACAGTCCACAGTCTTAGGTCCAAGTTTGCGCTTCTTCGTTATTGGTACATTGACTTTCGCCAAGCACCCCCATGTGCGCAAATAAGAAAGTGATGGTTTTCTACCAATCCATATCTCATATGGTGTTTTGTCCTTATTTCTGTTAGGAACTCTGTTTAACACATGATTTGAGGTCAACAATGCCTCCCCCCACCATGCCTTAGGCAGTCCCGCGGTGTCCAACATGGCATTCACCAAGTCAGTCAGTGTGCGGTTCTTCCTTTCAGCAATCCCATTAGACTCGGGAGAATAGGGAGGTGTCCTCTCATGTATGATGCCATGTTCCTCACAGAATAAGTCAAACTCGTTCGAGAAAAACTCTCCACCACGATCAGACCTAAGCCTTTTTATCTTTCTGTCAAGTTGATTTTCAACTTCTGCCTTATAAATTTTAAAATAGTCTAGAGCCTCGTCTTTCGTTTTCAACAAGTACACATAGCAAAATCTAGTAGCATCATCAATCAATGTCATGAAATATCGTTTTCCACCCTTCGTCAACACCCCATTCATTTCACAAAGATCTGAATGTAGGAGTTCTAGTGGTGCCAAGTTTCTCTCCTCGGCAGCCTTGTGAGGCTTGCGAGGTTGCTTCGATTGCACACAACTATGGCACTTAGAACCTTTGACAATGGAAAACTTAGGAATTAAACACATGCTGGAAAGCCGAGACATCAAGCCAAAATTAATATGACATAAACGTGAATGCCAAACATTAGCCTCATCATCCACACTGCCACAAATATGGTTCACAGACTTATTGCAGAAATCAGAAAGGGAAAAGCGGAACAGGCCTCCGCACTCATAACCTTTACCAATAAAATATCCATGTTTAGACACGACTACTTTATTAGACTCAAAAACCAACTTAAATCCGTCTCTAGTCAGACGGGAGCCACTAACAAGATTCCTGTCGATAGAAGGGACATGCTGCACGTTCTTCAGCTGCACGATCTTTCCCGAAGTAAACTTCAGATCTACCGTGCCAACACCATGAACAGAAGCATGTGACCCATTCCCCATTAGGACGGTGGAACCCCGTGCGACCTGATAAGAAGAAAACAATGAGATGTCAGCACAAACATGTACATTGGCCCCAGTATCAACCCACCAATTAGTAGATTGATTAACTGAAAAAACAGTAGGTAAATTACCATACCCGCTTCCATCTCCAGTGTTGCCAATGGTCACATTAGCAGACTTAGAAGTCTGCCCTGCAGGTGCCTTCATCCCCTTGCGTTGTGGACACTTCCTAGCCAGATGACCAACTTGGCCACACACAAAGCAAGTCCTCTCATCCTGATTAGGATTGTTGTTGTTCTTCTTCTGCTTCTTGAAGTTGGTGGTCTGCTGAGCTTTGTATTTCCCCTTGCTCTTGTTCTGGGCCTTGTGCACAACATTGGCACTGGACTGCCCACCATCGCCCTTAGACGCGGCATCTTTTTCCCGAGCTTTCTCCTCAACATCAAGAGACGCAATCAACCCCTCAACGGAGTATTCCTGTCTCTTGTGTTTGAGTGCAGTACCGAAACTCCTCCAAGATGGAGGTAGTTTTGCAATAATGCACCCGGCCACAAATTTGTCGGGTAAGACACACTTAAGGAGTTCGAGTTCCTTAGCCATGGTTTGTATCTCTTGAGCCTGTTCGACTACAGAACGGTTGTCAGCCATTTTGTAGTCATGAAACTGCTCCATGATATACAGATCATTGCTAGCATCAGTAGCACCGAATTTAGTATTCAGTGCATCCCACAACTCCTTAGCGTCGGTCATATGCATATACACCTCGACCAGACGATCGCCAAGAACGCTAAGAATGCATCCCACAAAGAGAGTAGTGGCTTCCTCGAATTGCTTCTGCTGTTCAGCAGTAAGAATTCCTTCAGGTTTGCCAGTACTCACCCAGAAGCATTTCATAGCTGTCAGCCACAGAGTGACCCTGATCTGCCATCTCTTAAAATGCACACCGGTGAATTTATCCGGCCTCAGTGCATCAGCAAAACCAGCCATAGTAAAATCACAGTGCCTATAATAAGGTTTTTGGATTGTTGAGATTATGGGCATATAATGATTAAATTTATTCCATAAATAAATCATGACATTACAGATGAAAACTAGCATGAACGCCTCATTAGATCTACACATGTAAACTACGCAGAATAACATGAACAGATCAAATATGCGCAACATATTGAACACGTACCGAGGTGACGAAAAGACCGGCTGTTTGGTCGAAACTTTTCGCAGGTGTCTACGAAGGCACGAAACACGCGAGCGAAGAGGAAGGCGAGCCGTCGCGAACGAACAGGGAGCAGTCGCGCGAAGCGCTTCCCAAAAACCTTATTGCCGCCTTCTCCCGGTGCAGGACGTCAAAGGCAGAGGTTCCGGAGACCTGCTCTCCTGATCGCTGGTGCACGCCGGCGAGCGGGATGGAGTAGTCTACGAGCGACGGCGCAGTACAGAGTAGGAGGCAAACCCTAGATTGATTTTCGCATATATTGCGTGAAGACGGCGGGTCGGTTTATATAGAGAAGGGTCGCTTGATCAGGGCGCCCGCACGATCTCTGCTGCGTGTAACCGAACCGGATAAGTCGCGCGTAACTTATCCGGACTCCACGCCGTTTGCACGCACCGGATTTTTCGGAACGTTTCCAAAACAAAACGAATCCGAATTTGCAGCAAAACAAAACTGCAAAAGGAGGCTGCATCTGCGCAAGGGTGAGGAGCCAATTTTTCGGACCATTCGACGCGTACTTCGTGCACGCGCGCCGCCTGCCCTGCCAGGCCAGGCCAGGCGAGCGAGCGCGCGTTTCCCCTCTTCTCTCCACCACACATGCTTCAAGTGGCTAGGAGGGCATCCTCCCTTTTAAGGAGGTCCTCCTCTCCTAGAATAAGCAAGGTGGTACTAAACTCCACATGCATGCCATCCCATGAGGTGGGCTTTTGTGATTTTCCAAAGAATTAATCTTCGAGTGGGCTAAGGTCCATTCATTAATTCCAACAGTTAAAGCATAGCCCGAGGCGGCGACGCTCGTCCTGCTCCGCCTGAGAGAGCCGCTTCACCGGGCGACCGTCGATGAGGACAGGGGGCGATGCGGCCCTAGGCGCCGGCGGCTGGGGCGGGGCCTGGCGCGGACCCAGCGTCGGCAGTATCCCGTGGCCAGGGGCTTTGGCCAGGGTGGCAGTGCACTGCTCCATCAGCTCGAACTGCCGAGCCAAACTCATGGCGGTGACGAGGGACTGCGGATTCTGCATCTGGACCTTGAGACTGAGCGGAGGAAGCAGACCGCCGGTGAAGAGCTGAACCCGTTGTGCCTTCGTCAGGCGGCCGGCGCGGGGCAGGAGCGCTTGGAAGTGGTCCTGGTAGTCCTCCACGGTGGTAGTGCGGCGGCAGTCGGCTAACTCGAAGAGGGGAGCCGAACGGAGTGGCGGCCCGTACCGTAGGACGAGGAGTTCCCGGAAGCGACGCCACGACGGTTTACCCTCATCCGCCTGGACTTGCATGTACCATAGCTGTGCACCATCTTCAAGGTTGTAGGACGCCATCCAAACCTTCTCTTCGTCCATGATCCGTTGTTGGTGGAAGTACGACTCACACCAATTGAGGAAGGTGAGCGGATCGGACTTCCCATCATAGCGCGGGAAATCCATTTTCTGAAATCGCGGCGGCCGGACGGTGCGGGGTTCGCCGGAGTCTGTCGTGGCGCCCGAGGATGAGGTGCGGCCGGAGGAGAGGGCGGCAATGGCCTTGGCGTTGGCGGCGATCGAGGCCTGCATCTCCTTCATGGCGGTGGTGAGAGCCTCCACGGAGGTCTTGAGGTCATTGGGGTCACCCATGCCGGGTGGGCAGGACGCGCCGGAGGACGAGTCCGAGGATGGTGGCGCGGCGGCTGGTGGTGGCGAGGATGTGGCGGGTGGTGGGGAGACGGCGCGGCGCGGCGAGGATCGTCTGGAACGTGATACCAGGTTGTCAAGGGCGTCAGGCCCTCGGGTAGCCGGCCCTCGGCTACGTAGCTCGTAGCCTCGGTCCGTCGTCTTCTCCGGCGAGGTTGCCCCGTGCCGCAGGCTTAGTTGAGAGAGAGGAGATTAGATTGGTAATTATTTGCTTAATTCAATTGTTACCCGGAATACAAGATAAGTAGGCCACCGGCCAACAAACTTAGAAACTACTAATTTGGAAATAATTAAACTAGGAAATAACTCTCCTAAAATCAAGGCTAGCTACTATCCTCGGCCCTGCCTTCCTGCGCGCTGATTGAGTCTGCTGCGGACGCTCGGGCCGCGGCTCTCCTGACGTCGCGGGCTCGACGCTGACGCACATAGGTGCGGCCCCACATGACAGCACTGGACACCGACCAGTACATGTCGGCACAGTTTTAAATCCACAAAGTTTCATATCCCTTTCTCCTTGGCCCGATCAGCGACCCCGTAGGTTGTTTGCAAGTGTCAGCACATCACATCCTCTTGGGTTTCTTCTTCGATCATCTGACATCTCGGAAGCTTCTGAATTTTTCAAATCACGTAAAGCTCAAGTGTCCATGTCACTGATGCAAGCAGATAGATTAGCTCGTTCTCTTTTGACTGAGATCATCATTAATGAACAAGTTATTTTGGAGCCAAAGTGTTTAATCAATACTCCAGTTGTTAATTAGTAGATACTCCTACTTTGCTGTGAAGGAACTAGGAAGCCATGATCCCGGATCAGAAAAAGGGAACGCAGTCTTTAGCCTGAAAAAGTATGTTACACGTTGCAATCATCGAAAATTAAGCAAAATGATCATCTTAGAAACAATGATCCAAAGCTTGAGCTGCATGCACTTTCACTTTCTCCAGGTCACACTGGATGCTACCAATGTCCATCTGAGATGCAGCAATGCAGTGCCTTTTGTCTCAAGATCAGAGAAGCTTGTAACATACACACATCTTTGAGTGACATGTATCAGACAGGTGCTAATTTGATTTCACTTCAACTGTGTCATCCCTAATAATTTCAGACTTTGAGTGGAATGGTTAGAATGGTTAGAAGTCTGCAGATCAAGTTCTACCATAAAAGGAAGGATCATTAACAGTAATTTGTACTGTTGTAGTATACTGCAGTGCCGTTCTGAAGATGATAGCACTGCCATTTCCTCTGGGAGACAGAATTCAGCAATCCATGCAGGACAGGGGCCTACGGTGTCTCTACTCTTAAGGATGTCACTGTCAGCTGATCAAGTATACTCCCATCAGAGTAATCTGCAGAGATGTCCTCTTGGACTTCAGAGAGAGTATTTTGTTGAGAAAATCAGGATATCTTTCTCTATCTAGCACCTCTAGCCGGCCAGGTGTAGGAAAGCAGCTACTCTCATTTTTTTCAAACATGGGAAGATGGATGAGGTGTCATTGTGGACTTGTGGTGGTTGAGCACCGTGTTGAGGATAAACTTGGTGCATTTCTCTGAATTTCTGACTGAAAACATATTCAGGTTTCAGGGAGGTGGAAAAGGACTGGATCTCGTGAATTCTGCTTGCTCTCATTCTCTCCGATCATTTGTCACCATGTTAACATTGTGCAGCTACAGGAAATTCGGACGTGACTCTTCTCACTTTTCTTGATTTCTTCACGTGTGGTGATAGTGAGGATTCAGAAAACAACCGGTTGAAAAGGGCATTTTTGTCGGGAGAGAATTAACGCAGTGGTGTGAGTGGGTGCCCTTTTTCCCTGAAAATCTTTGACAAGAATGAACATTTTATCTGCAAAATCCAAAGAAGAAACCAAATGCTGAAATGCAACGCCTGCCCTGGAAAGATTCTTGAGAGAAAACAATGGAGATAAAGATTCACGCAAAATCGAGCAGCAAAATTCAGAGAAATATACCACTGTATAAACTCTGCACCATTCGGTTAGCAAGAATCCAAAACAATGGAGTGAGTGATGGAGGAAAAAGAAAAGACCACTCAAACCGCTCGATTCCTCGAGCCCTATACGGCGATGGAGACGGCCACCTTTTCGAGTTCCACGCGCCCTTAATGCACGGCCGCCGCCGTGCCGCCGTGCCGGAGCACCGGCGGCTGTGGCGGTGGAGACTGGAGAGAGACGGGAGGAAGGGGACGGCGAGGACGACGAAAGGGTCTAGATATGTAATATGTAATAGTATAGGGGTCTTAGTGAAAATAATCTCTGTTAATCTACACTGTTGAAATCTAATCCAATGGCGTACGGGTCGCTACCATTGGTTCCGAAATAGGGCTATAAATGAAATAATAGATTAGTATGAGGGTTTATTCGGGAAATACATCTTGCTCGCAAATCCTTTCCTTTTTTTTTTTGCGAAACAATCCTTTTCTCAATCTGAACCGTTAAAAAATGATCCAACGGTTTGTTTAAAGCCAAGTGTCTTTATTTGCGGATAATGTTAAAAATAGAGTATTAAAAGGGGTACTTATGCAAAGTACTCATCGCTGATTCTACTCGATCACGGCCGTAGACTGCCGATCGAATGGTTCCCATGAATTCTAGCTCCTGGGCCAAGAATTAACGGCGGCCGGCGGCCGGTGCAGATCGCCGAGCTAGAACGCCGGAGTCCACCGGCGGCGGCGCCGCCACCGCCGTGCTGAACAAGGACTGGTGCCTCCGTACCTTCCTACATGGAGTGCAGTGAAGAAAGTGCTAATGAAGACGACGGTCGACGAGGCAAGCAGCAAGTAGCTTCCGCGCCGGCGATGATGATCTCGATCGGAAAGGGAGAAGACGTACGGAGTAGATCAAATCGGAAGAAATAAAACATAAAGCAAATTATCTATCGGAGAGGATCATTTGGTCCATATATAGCATTCGATGATCATGATCGAAGGATAGCTAGAGCTATACTCCTAGAAGCGAAGCTAGCTAAAGGCACGAGAGTATAGTACAAGATCATGTGAAATATTACTTGAAAAGAATGTGAAAAATATTGAACTTGATTACACATATGTGCACCCTCTTTCACCGTGGTTAACACCACCTGATCAAAATTCAAAATTCACATAGAAACCTTATGTATATTACTACTGCTAGTCTCTCTACTAGATGCGAGAGGAAGAAGAAGACGATGGAGATTGCATGCGTCGTGCGCTGCGTGCACCTCGTCACAAGAACCGCACGCCACGCCACGCCACCGCGCGCGCGCGCGCTCGCTGTACATGTATGGCGATGATCGATCGCCCGATCAGATGAGCTGGACCGAGAGCGTCGACGGCGCGCGGTGGTGGTGGTGGCGCTCGGGCGCGGCTCGCGGCGACGGCGACGACGACGACGAGGAGGATCCGGAGGCGCGCCGCCGCTGCTTCCAGGAGGCGGTGCGCAGCATCTGGCACATGCCCTCGGCGACGCGCTCGGCGGGGCCGCCGCGCTTGAGCATGCGGCAGAAGGCCATGTGCGCGCGCACGGCCTCCTCCACGTCGACGGGCGCCCGCGGCGAGCTCTTCCCGGCCTCGTACTTCACCGCCTCCGAGCACAGCCCGCACAGCCACCTCCCCCCGAAGTACGCCCTCACGCCGCCCACGTACTCCCCCGTGCACTCCTCCTCCAGCCCGCAGCACTCGCAGCTCATCACCACCGCCACCATCTCCTCCTCCATGCTTGCAACAACTAGTATCTGAACAAGTTTATCTCCCTTCTTTGATCAGAGATGACAAGTGTTCTTGCCTCTGAATTTCTGAATTATATTACTAGGTCGTAGCGGCAGCAGCAGCAGCAGTAGGTGCTCTCTAGCTTTGAGCTATTTCTTCTTCTTTCCTTGTGTTGCTTAGCTGATTGATTTTCTTGGTGTTTGTTGGTCGTGTGCAATGCGTTGGTTTCCTTTATATTGTTTTGATATGGCACCTTTCGCTGTCGCGGCGACCGGCAATGAAATGTACAGATTGTTTTTTTATGGAGAAGAAAAAAAAAGGAGAGATTTTGCTTTTTGGCACATGGATAGTACCCATCAGATGATCAGATGCATGCTACTGCTATCTAGGCCATCTACTGCTCAACATGGTCATGGACTAGTAGTAGTACACTGCTTGGTTATTGTTTTTTTTTTTTTTTGCCCTGATGACAAGGGAAAAGAACAGCGGGGAGAAAGAGCATTTTTGACATAGTTTAGAGTGCAGAGTCTTCAGTTGTGCAGGTTTGTTTACTGCTTCACGATTTCATACTCTGATTGATTGATTCTGAATCTCTCTTTAGTTCCATGTATATGATTGTTTTAGGCACATGGCTGACACCATGTCAAAGATTTCGCGCTAATTTGATTTCCAAGTCAAAACTTCCGCGGAGAATTTACTGAATCTCTGCCCTATTTTACAGGGAAAGAGCAAGTTCTATGTACATATCTGTACTAGGCTGAGCACCATTGTACTATTTCTTTGCTATTTTTGTCAAAGAGAGCAAGTGGGGTAATGGAATCTAGAAAATCCACCAAGTCGTGTACATTTAATTAATAGACATCCATGTACAATTAAATTATAAAAACAAATTAACCAACCAATTTCTGACTATAATCCTCTATCAAAAACAAAAAAAAAATGAATCTGATGATAATGCTCAGCTGAAAACCGAACAGAATACTCCCTCTCCATGGCATGGCTGTCGTGATGATCCATGGACCCTACCACGTACTCGCGGCTTACAAAGTCTCTACTACGGTTCACGTCAACACGGTATAATCGTACAGTGCCATAAACATGCCATGTCTGCATACGTATGCTGATTGCTGAAGCTGTAACCATCAGTCTTATCACTATACACCATGACTAGCCACCGGTGCTAATACAGTACTAATGGTGGCTAAAATGAACGAAGCGACTCGAGCATTATCCAATCAATCAACCGGCTAAACGATCTCCAGGCATCTGCATCATCCGGTGACAAGTTCTGACGGAGTGACAGCCGGCGATGACAATTCTAGCAGCTGCACGTTCGTCAGAGGAATGTGCTGTCAGAAACATGTTCAGAGATCAGGAAATTCAGAATGTGGCCCAAGCTGATGAATCTTATGTCAGTTCATGTGTAGTATGGCTGTCAGGGTGCTCGCGGCACTGCAGCGACATCTGATGGCGAGACGATGTTTTTACGGGCTTATCTGATGGATTCGCTGCATGTCAGTATGACAGTATGTAGTAGTATGCGACGACGAACGACGACGAAGACGGGGTGAGATAGGACGTTCATTCTTCGAATTCTCGGTCCAGAAGGCACCTGAAGATTGACATGGCCATGAACGCCTTGCCCATGTCTGCCTCCTGCTCCTCCGTGTCTCCCTGATGTCTTCTCCCTTATCATCTCGTACAGTCCTGGGAAAGATTTTGCAATGCATGGACCAATCACACGGACAGGACAGGAATTTGCATCCGCACGATCTGTCTAAGATTAAAATTCGAATTAATTGGCATCCGTTAGTGATAATGATAAGATGATGATGCTAACTGCAAGTGTTTCTGTAATCTAAGATGTGGTTTGAGGAGAGTGATATCTGAACATAAGAACATTTCCATCGATATCTGAAGACTTTTCTCCTACGCGGTTGATAAGATTTCAGTAAATATATGCTAGATTTCGGTAAGACGCCGGATCACACGGACAGGACAGAGGCTGCATCCCTGGTATGATGTGTCCAGTATTAAAATTCTGATTAATCGGAATCCATTTTAGAGAGAAGATAACGATACTCCCTCGGCTCCTATTTACTTTGTCAACTGTCACCTCTGACCAGGGTTGTTTCAACTTCAACCATTAACAATTTTTAGATTTATCATATTTGGTTGAACAAAAAAAAAGTCTAGTTAGGTTATCATAGTTCGATAATATGGTGTATTTTTCAAAGAATTACAAAACATTGTTAAAACGAAAATGGTCAAAGTTTTCATTTCCATCGATCCCTGAAGATATATATTCTTTTTCACGCGGTTAATGAGATTCGAGCAAATCGCTGTTGGGTTGAAGAGATTTTCTTTTGGTTGGCGACGATTCAAGGACAACGTTGTCGGGACAGCTGCATTGTCTTGTGTGATCAGAGCAAGAGAGGATCGATCAATCGTCTTCCCTGCAGAAATGTGTGGTTGCGCGGCCAATTTTAGTTCAGGCTTCAGGGCTCCTGTCGCCTGTCGGCAGGGAATGAATCTTTGGTGCCGAATGGTGCAAAAATCTGGTGAATGGCTGATTGCTGGATGATCATAGATAGCTGCAGGAGATGCAAATCCCAAAGAACATAAGAGAGAGTTTCGATCACTGGTGGTCCTGGTGTTTTTGCAGAAAATAAAAGAATGAGAAAAATATTGAAATTTTCTGTTGCTATCTTCTCTAGACAATATAGTAATATACTGTTTTTTTCCTTTTCTTGAAAAAAGGGTGTCACATTGGTTGGGTTCAGCTGATAAGCTGTGACAAAAAAAAAACGAGCAACGATAAATGATTTGAGAGTAGAACCATTACATTTGTAGCCTTTAAAATCCAAGGCTGAAAAGGAAAACTCAATAATAGTATAAAATGATTTAAAATTAGGCTTAAAAATTTAAGTTTCGGTTGTGAATTATAAATCAACAAGCAAACGATGAAAAAAGGAACTCTCTCTAAAAAAAAAAGAACAACTAATTACAAATTTGCCACTGGGTTAAATCTATATATTGTAGGATTGCCACCAGATAATTAAAAAATGCAATTAGAACTGTTGTTCGATTGGCATCCTTACAAAATTAAAAAAACCAGTGGCAAAATTGTAAATACAAAAAAAAAACAACATATGGCATCTAGATACAGCAGAGGTTTTGGATGTTGAAACAATTTATTAATTGAGTTTTGAGTGGATCTAAGAAAACTTCTCGAGTTTAACTAAAGGCCCAAGTATTCATGGGCCGGGCTGCAATCTCAAAGCCGCCTCCAAATCTCCAACCGAGACACTGACCGGTGGGCCCAACGAGAGAGCCACTCATAAACCCTAATCCTCGCGAACTCCCCCTCCTCCCCGCCTCCCTCCCATCTCGCGTTCTCGCGCTCGATTCGAATCCCACCGCAAAGCAAAAGCCCACGCGCGAAGCAAAAGCTCGCCGCAAATGGAGGACGCCGCGGTCGAGGAGGCCGAGGTGAGCGGCGGCGCGGCGGAGTTCGCGCCGGCTCTCGTCGCCGCCCACCCGCTCGGCCGCTCCGTCGCCGTCGCCGTCGGGCCCGAGCTCCGCGTGTTCGATCTCAAGTAAGGAACGCCTCTCTTCGCTCGTGGCTCGCCTTCCTGCCTATTGTCGGATCTCAATTTACTCTTATAGTTAAGTAGTTTGATTTTGATGGAGATTGGGACGTGATGCGTTTTTTTACCTGAGCCTAAATTGGTCTGTCGTATTGTACTGTAGTCTAAGTGCATAGCATATAGAAGGATGAAGCTTCTGTTGATATTTATTCGTGTAAAATTTCACTGCTGATAAAATTTTCAGCTCAGATGCTTAGTTTTGTACTGCCCAGTGAAAATGTCTAAATGGATGTATGCCTTATTTTTTCCTTCATTTCACTTGGTGAATATTGAAATGTGCGAATAAATGTGTATTTTTGGATCCAGGGCCAGCAGTGCAGTTTCATTGTCAGACAATTCTGGCGGTGGTTCTCATTCGGATGCTATAAGAGCTATCTCGTTTAGTGCAAACGGTGCTCTGTTCGCATCCGCTGGTGATGACAAGCTTGTTAAGGTCTGGAAGACTGATTCATGGTGCTGCATTCGGACCATGTAAGTCACCCTGTTTGTTTTATTGTGAAAGCATAATGGATTAACCAAATTAGTGTACCATTTTATTTATCATGTATTCAGTGAGTCAATCTACAACTATTCTTCTGCTACTTATCTACGTGTTTATGAGAATCCACACATAATTGTTGGCTGACACACTTAGCAGCTTGGAGTATTGTTAGTTATGTTAAAAACTTCATTTTTGTGGTTGGTAATGTATTAAGTCCTTCATGCATGAGTTTGATTTCTTTTGCAATGTCTTTACTTTTGCAGAACTTCTGAAAAGAGGGTCAGTGCAGTTGCTATTAGCAATGATGGCACATATGTAACTTTTGCAGATAAATTTGGTGTTATTTGGTTAGTTACCATGGGGGAAAGTGGTGGAGAGCAGGAGCCAACTGATAATAAACCTGTGTCAATTTTTGGTCACTACTGCAGTATTATTACTAGCATGGTATGACAAATTTTGATATTTTATATTAGCCATAGTTATTTGTATGTCCTGCTGAAAATATCAAAGTAACACATTATGCTTCAAATTTCCGATCCCTGCACACTTATATTATGTATTGGAATGCAGAAATTCTCACCGGATGGACGATTCATTGCTACAGCTGACCGGGACTTTAAAATCCGAGTATGAAACCATTATACTTTGCTGTACTTTCTGCATTTGTGTGGATCATAATTCTCTTTTTTTTTCTTCTTTGGTGAAATTTGTTTTGTAGATTACATCACTCCCGAAAAAGCCTTTAAGAGGGGCTCATGAGATTCAAAGTTTTTGCCTAGGACATACAGAGTATGCTCAGTATCCTGTGCCTTCGTACTTTTTTATTTTACACAGTGTCTACATTCTTTCTGTATCTCTAGGAATTTGCATTATTATCTATTAAACCCAGTGAAATTTTAGAGCTAAATGTTGCAACGTATTAGTTAATGCATTTTATATTTCCTGTGGATAATAATGCAGCTTTGTATCGTGCATTGCCTTCACATGCCTTTCAGAAGGTCCGAGCTTTCTTTTGTCTGGAGGCGGTGATTCTACTGTGGGTACAAAATCATTTTGGAATGCTAACGTGTTCCCAGCAAGCTTTTCCAATGCTCCTCGTGATGTTTTTCATTCATTTATTTAGGTTCGTCTATGGGACTACATAAACGGCTGCCTCCTTGATACATGTCAAGTCCGAGACAAGGTAACATCTGGAAAATGTTTATTTGAGTTTTCTAAAAAAAAAAGTCAATAGGTTGTTTATTCCAGTTATAATTGTTTGTGTTATTTTGTACTAGCTAACTTGCTCTTAAAACAATTCACAGGTGGGAGAACTCTTAGAGCCAAATGAAACTGAAGACAACAATCTATCTGTTGCAGATATATGCCCGACTAATGATGGTTTGTTGGTTGCTGTAGCCATTCAGAGGTAAACTTGTGTGGTTACGCTTCTCCAAAAGTAATATGATTTGCTTGGTAAAATGGGGTTCTTTTTTATCTGTTTGATGCAGTTTAAATGGAGTAATGCTTTTAGCATGTGACCTTATTGCAAAGAAGTTATCTTTTCTAAAGGTATGTCTCTTTGAAAATGTATCTTTTCAAGGCAACTGGTTTGGGATTAATAGCATGACCACTTGACCAGGATTTTGTTTTACAACAAGATTTAGCGCATCATTACTATTTAGTACTGTTGATAGCCTTATTTCTTGAAATGATCTTTACAAAGATTGGTACCAATGCTTGTGACTTGCTAGGCTTTGGCTTGAGAGAAATGTTCGTGCGAGCTCTAGGTTTCTTGTTGCCAGTTGTGATGGGGCTAGTTAAGATTTATCTGGAAAAGTATTGTTAAATCTTGGTTATTGGTGACTAGCAAGATATCTTGTTGGCTCAGCTGTTCAATAGTAGTACCTTTTTTTTTCTTTTTTTGTATATTGCTGGAAAAACTAATAATTCCTCCCCTGCACTACCAGGTGGTTACAACGGAAAAGTGCTATATTCCTACTAGCCTGTCTTCCAGCTTCTCAGCAGATCTTCTATGGACCGTCATGGGCGCATCGAATATGCCTAATCAGGCTACTTCCCAGTTATGTACCCGTTTGAAAATCATCCCACACTTCAAAAAGGATCCGCTAGCCGGATGTGATCATGTTCCTACAGTCTTGGAAGACAGTGAGGTGCCACATGGTGAGAAGCTCCTTCTGGCGCTGCAAGGAAGTCTTGACATTGCAAAGCAAGAAGAGGTGTTAGCTTCAGTTCTAGCTGCACTGAAAGTATCAATGCACAAGATGCTGGTAAAGAAGCACTACTCGGAGGAAAGGAGAGAGCAGAGGAAAAGGGGCAGAAACGATAAGAAGATCAAGAAGTAGATCGGCCTACAGCCTCAGCAAAACCAGTTCTTTGTTTCTCATTGTACCATTAGAGGCTTGGAAAACAAAAGGCATTTTGACATTCACAACTGTAAGATTAAATCTACTAGCAAACACTTTTCTCATTATCCATAGGCCACAGCATAACGGCTTCTGAATTCTGATGCCTGTTGTTTCAGTCGAAATGCCCGCAGTTCTTGTTGTCTGCTCTACCTGTAGCAGCTGTTATCTGTGATTTGAAATGTTACTTACCCTATATTAACCATGCTGCTATCCAATGATAATTGCACGCTATAATATCATTTTTGCAATGCATCAAATTGCTGCTGATTTAACTGCACGCTGATCACTTTTTTTGTCGTGATCGCAACTGATGGCTGAGACGTAAAGATCAATCACTAAAGAGCATGAGGATTCCGGCTGTGTTGTCTCTTTCTCTGAATCGTGGTGTACAGTATATGACATGATCTACGATATGACGACGGTAAGGACAAGCTTTCTGTTTCTTTGCGTTGCAAAAGCTTTCCATGTATACTGATTTGAACGTGAGTATGTGACGTGCCCGATGGTTTTTGCAGAGCTGGAAACGAGCAGCTACTACCTCACATGTAAATGTTTTTCTCTGGCAGGAGGAATATTTGCAGCATCTGCGATCACTGGTTTGTCGCCTGCATCTGATCTGCCAGTGGAATTTCACAGAAAAACAATGCAATTTGAGCTGGATTTGGATGAAATTCTTTTCCCAGGTTCCAAAAACAGGTACAGGTGTTGCTTGCTTTCTCTTCTTTCTGCATTACTGCTTGTTAGTTCATTGATGAGGAAGGGTAATGATAGGGAGTTAGAATTTATTCCCAATCCTGGTGAGGATGGCTAAACAAAGTCTAGGAATTTATTCTGACCAAAAAAACCTTATCCATTGAGCAGAGATGCAAAGATGAACACGGTTGATCAGGAGGATAAGAGTTCTCTGTAAGAAAGTTAATTCCCATGGTCAACAACATGATGTCTGCTTTGCTGCCTTTTTTTTCCCTCTCCTCCAGATGCAACTTCTATTAAAACTGGGAACTCACTGATTCATTTTTCAAAGGTTTAAACAATATTATCATTGATCTCTCATAGTCTCATGGTGCTACTAGTAGAGAAGCTGGAGTACCTCTCATAAGTCAGTGCCCTTGTTTTCTTCCTTCTAATTGGTTTTTCTAACCATGAAACTAATGGCACAAACAAACCTAAGTCAGCCTCATTGATAACGATTCCCATGAAGGTATGAAGATCTTGTATGTCTTCTAGTTCCAGCGGCACAAACCACTTCAAGTTCTTGACCTAATCACCTATCCAATATAATTTAATACTAAATGTTTTCAATGAGGACAAGAAGAAATACTAAATACTACTAGGTGATAGCAAGTGGAATCCTTTGTCACTAGAGTATCTGAACTGGAAGAAATCCAGGGCGTCGGATACTGATCGGACGGTCTTGCATGCTGTTCATCAAATTACTAGTTTGTGCGGTCTGCATCCTCAGTTGTTCCATGAACATACTAAAACAAGTACTCCTATCTACCAACTGAACAGTAACAAGAGCAATTAAGATAATAAGAAGCCAAAATCGATATGATCTTAACGTTTTGACAGTCCAGCGACTTTGCAATTAATGGCCGCCACTGCAACAATGGCTAGCAAGCAGCCTTGGCATGCAGTGAGAAGCTTTTCTTGGTCTCTTTACCTGAAAGCTCTGGATGAAGCTTCATTGCATGATGCAACCTGAATTTTATTTTACTGTGACTAACAGTGCTAAGCTTTGCTTCTTTTCATCCACATTAAGCTGATGCTTCTCACTGAAGGCGAAAGGGAGACAATAAGCATGCATCAGCAAGGCGTCCATTTCACCTGACCTAAGTGAAAGTATACCTTTCTGTCACTGCAACTGTATTTTGCTGCTCACAGAATGTCAGAAAACGGCATGCTTTGGGACATGGCCCAGTTTATTTTAACTAATTAGGATTTGCCCAGTTGCTTTCTTCATCATCACCTTGTCCTTTTTTTTAAAAAAAAAATCAAGCAAATTAGGGCCTGTCCAATCACTAGCACTGTTGCTGCATGTGCAAAGAGTATTTGCAAATTGCAAAACTCAACAGTCTGGAGTCTAGAGTTGCATCACCAGGAGGGTCAGGTTTGGTGCCCCTCCCTTTCACCCTTTGCCCGTTGTCAATAAAAGACTGCATTTGTGTTGTCCTCCAAGGAAAAATGGAGCAAGTTTAGAACCCCTCATTTACAAGCGTTGTGACTTGTATCCAAAAGAGAGAGAAAAAAAGAACTTCAGGGTTAACCATTTCTTAGAATTATACTACCTCCGTATTTTAATATATGACGCTGTTGACTTTATAACCAACGTTTGACCACTCGTCTTATTCAAAATTTTTATGCAAATATAAAAATATTTATGTCATGTTTAAAGAATATTTGATGATAAATCAAGTCACAAAAAAATAAATTATAATTGTATAAATTTTTTGAATAAGACGAAATGTCAAACATTTATCAAAAAATCAACGGCGTTATACATTAAAAATATGGTGGGAGTACTGTATACGAGAAAAAGAGAATCATGTGTGAGTGTGATGATGATGCCATTGTTAACTTATTGATTTACTACTTTTCTCATTCTTTGGACCAAGTACCAAAGGAGAAACAAGTTCTTTACACCTGCCTTGCTCTCACCCTTCCATCGTGCAATGGCGCCATGATGAGCCCACCATGTCGCCCACAAGATTATGCCCGGCGGCGTCTACTTGTTCAGTCAAAAATAATGACAGAAAACTACTGTCTACTGTCACTGGCCTAAGGTCAGAGTAACCAATTGGTTTTACTGAAATTAAACTGCCGTTAATCACAGGGCTCATATGGTAGTCATAAGGGCAATTCTAGAGTAAATGTCTACTTCTTGACCACTGTCATGAGATTGCAACACGTATTGAAGTAGCAATCACTTTCTTGCTTCTGGGTAGGAAAATTGCTGCACCGGAGAAATGGATATAGATTGGGATAATACGGTGATCTCATGCGTGGGTGATTTGCTAGTACATTACTCCCTCCATATTTTAATGTATGACACCGTTGATTTTTCGAACAATGTTTGACCATTCGTCTTATTCAAATTTTTTATGCAAATATAAAAATACTTATATTATACTTAAAGAATATTTGATAATAAATCAAGTCACAATAAAATAAATGATAATTACATAAATTTTTTGAATAAGACGAATGGTCAAACGTTGATTAAAAAGTCAACGGCGTCATACATTAAAATACGGAGGGAGTAAATATTACTGCTGCTTAATTAACATCTTGTTTAGACATGGAGCCCACCTATTACTCTCTATCAGCAAACATCTACTCCTATCTAAGAAAATGGTACTCCTAGCACTATAAAAGTAAGGAGGGTACTATCAGGTAGCTCCTGGGATTAAAATCGTGTGCCAATCCCTTTCTGCACCAATCACTCACTTGTCACTTGTCACTATACTAAATTGATACACCCCCTCTCTTTTAAAAGTATAAATCAAACCCCCCAAATCTGTACACATAGTATCAAATTACTAATCTAATCTTGAATTATCAAATCGATGTCTCAAGTCTGAGCTCCAATAATTGGCAAGCCAACTTGCCAAGGGGACACCCCAACGGGCGAGGCGAGAAGGGAATGACGATTGACGCGGTTGCCATTTGCCGCAAGCCGCGATGGAACTCGTAATTTTTTTTAGCCCAAACAAATCTAATTAAGCCTAAGTATTTATTAAAAAAAATCTAATTTAACCGTTACATTAACATTAAAATTTTATTACTTCATTCGTTTCAATATGTAACAATTTAGAATAGAATTAGATCAATGCTAAGACTACGAATATGAATATACCTTTAGTTCTACATATTGAGACAGAGAAAATGTGTTTGGTCAATAAGCCTAGGTAGCCGCTCGAGGTCGACGGATGGTGGCTTTGGCACATGGTTTTGATCCGATTATCGGCTTGTAGAGAACAATGTTAACGTCAATGTAAAATTTCTTCGTGCAGCAACAATATCGACTCGTCGTTTGCTTGTCAGAGGACCAGCTGCGATGGAGTCAACAAGGCTACACAGGGAATAGCTATAATTAGCGACCGATCTTTTGTAGTAACAGTTTTTTTCGGTGGGTTATCTTGTAGTGCCACAGAGTTAGTGATGATGTTGAGCCCAAATAGCAAAAATCTTTTACTAGTAACCGATAATTGTTCTATAGCGGTTTTCGGCGGCTGATCTTGTAGTGCCATTTCTATCGTTTAGCATAGTTATATTCTTCGTATGGTGGATTACTGCGGACACATTTTCCTAGCTTCTAAATGGTGCAATATCTGCAAAATGGCTTTTTCATCAGCATTTCCTTGAAAAAAACTGTTTTAAATCAACCTTTTAAACTTTCTAATGCGTAAGTCATTTGTTTGTGCTCTCAAATAATTCTTCTTTCATCTATCATCCATTTTTCATATAGCACTTTAGGACAGGCTCTTCAAGGAGACGTGACGAGAGAAGTGTGGGGGAAGCATTGCAGTTAAGGGCAGCGAGCGAAGAGAAGCAAACAACAAAAGAGGGTAGGGGCAGGCGGGCGCATCGCATACGCTTCAGTAGATGACAAACATGCCAAGAAAAAAGGGTACAGTTAGAGACAGGACATAATTGCGATCTTTTGTCATCGTGCAGTAATCTAATTGTACTCCTACCAGTACTAATTCTACTAAAAAAACGTTTAGATGACAAAAATAATCTGGTTCTTTCTGGCAGTAATTTCTCGGAAATACTGTAAATACGTGTTGTTCTGAAAAAAAACGATGGAGATTCAGCTCATTGTAGTATGAATGTATGATCTAGTTACTGACTGATTTTTACTGAAGCAGCCACTGAATCATCTCATCTGATCAGATGAGCAGCATGAGATACCTTGGTGAATGATTTACCGTGTGTTTGAGAGTAGGAAACAGAAGATTAAGATGATATGTAAAACGAGATAAATTGTTAACGCACGATTAATTGAGTAATTTCTCAGAGACACTGTACTACTGTAAAAGTGTGTTGCTCTGAACAACAATGATAATTCAGCTCGTTGCATGATCTACCTGACATTTACAGTTCTACTACTGCTATACCACTGATGAATCATCTCAAATTATCATCTGATCAGCGATTCAGCAGCATGAGATGAATGATTTCATTGACGTAGAGCCTCGCATCTTTCCATAGGTCGACAGCAAATCTACCTGCTGTACCAACGGAATCTACCATTTGTGTGCGCGTGCATGGGCTCAAACGGGGACAGTAACACCCAGCGCAAGAATGCAGCACAGCACACACTACAGCAGCAAGAGAAGCATGGCCAGGACAGGAGGAGAGGACCATTGCCAATGAAAAAGATGTGTAAAAACAAAAGAGAAAAAGAAAAAAAACTCAGGATAAGGACCTGCCCCTTTGGATGCAAGCACACACAAACCAACACTGACATCATGTTCATTCACTGTGAGGAGAGGAGATGGCTTCTTTAAGATCGCCACCCTCCCAACCTCCCCATTGTGCTACTATATGCTTATTAGTATCATCAGTTCATCACCAACCTCTCTCTCGTCTTCTTCTCCCTCTTCTTCTTCTTCTTCTTCATCTTCTACCTTTGATAGTTTGATTGAGGTGTTGTTCCTTTGAGTGCAGCAAGAAGCTGATGATTTTGATGATAGCTTAAGGATCTTGCCAAACTCTTGTGTTGGGAGTAGTTGCTTGCAGATCGAGCTGCAAAGGTCCCATTTTGCTTCTCCATCTGAGCTTGGTTAGGTTGCGTCTGAGTACACTTCTGAGGCTTCTTTGGTCGTTTTGGCCTCGAGCTCCGTTCTTAAACTCTGCCTCGATCGATCGATCTCATCTCATCTGCGCTGTTCTTGTTGCTGTTGCTGTTCAATTTTGAGAAGAAGGTGCCGATCGAGTTGAGCCGATCGGGTTCAGTGAAATTCACTTGCGTTTTTGAGAGAATTGTTTGAGTTGGTTTCGGTTCTTGAGATGTTCCTGAGATCGAAGGTCCAGGAGATGATCCTGAGGAGGAGGTCCAGATCGATGAACAGCGGCGGCGGCGGCGTGCAGCAGAGCCACCTCTCCGGCCAGCACGCGAGCTCGACGACGGTTTCGTGCGACGGCGGCGGCGGCGGCGCCGGCGGCAAGAGCGCCACCGCGGCGTGTGCGTTGTTGGGGTCTCCGAGGCTGCTGCACTGTGCCTCGCTGCCTTCCGGCAGCCACGCCAAGAACGGCGGCGGCGGCGGCGGCGGCGGCGGTTCGGAGCCCGAGACGCCGTACTCGATGAGCCCGACGTCCGTGATCGACGCGGCGGCGGCCTTCGCGCCCAGCCCGGACGCCGGCGGAAGCAAGCGCCGGCCGTGGTGCGACTGGGGCGCCGGCACGCACGGCCTCGCCGACGCGCTCGACTGCACCGGCGACGACGACGACGGCCACAGACAGAGCGTCCTCGCCGCCGCGTCGCGGGCGGTCAAGCTGCAGGCGCAACCGCAGCAGCAGCATCCCCTGCTCAGGTCGTGCTCCCTCGATCGCCGCGTCGAGTTCGGCGTCAAGAACAAGAGCTCGTGGCTGCCGCTTCGCGTCGCCGGCGGCGAGGCGGCGGCGGCGGCGGCGGAGTCACCGGCGGAGATGCAGATGGAGCCGTCATCGGAGGACTACACCTGCGTCATCTCCCGCGGGCCGAACCCGAGGACGGTGCACATCTACGGCGACCGCGTCGTGGAGGGCGGCGGCGGCGCCACCACCGCCGTAGCGCTCGCCGGCGAGAGCTCGCCGCGGCCGATCAATTTGCCGGCGCCGGCGCGTGAAGCGAGAGGCTTCTTGAGCTTGTGATGCAGTGATAGATGGTAGCTTGATTAATGATGCTTAGGTAAAGTTTGGTGTGAGGACAATTAAATTAAATCTGAGTCTTAATGCTGTCATTATTATTATTAGTATTTTTATTGTATTGGTTGTTTGTTCGATCTTGATGATCAGATGGTCAAGTAGTAGTAGATGCTTTCTTGATCGGATCCTCAAATTTTAAATAGATGCTTTCTTGGTCAGATGATCAATCGATTCAAACAGATGGGTTTGTTCAGTATACTTCAATTTGAGCTGAATCTGTAATACAAATTCAGAAATTCTTTGCTTCCACATCCTGCTGCTACCAGAGCAGAGTCTTTACCTGCAAATCACTTGCTGAACTATTAACCCAATGAATTTAATCTGATCTCCAAATAACAAGCTTAGCTGTTCCACACACACACAAAACAATCTTCATATAAACCAGTTTAATTCCCTCTAACAAATCAGAGAGAATTCAGACCAACTCTGAATTTCTGACAGAGAGTTTTCAGAGCATTTTCGCTCACTGAATCCAAAGATGAGGCAAGTGGTGTTCTAGGCTTCTGCCATACTACTCCTAAGCTGCAGGGTTCAATCATTGACGGTTTCTTGTAGCATCACACTCACAACCGATGGAGGAGAAGAAAGAATCCAATGATTGATGTTTTCTTGTGGTGAGCCCCTGCTGCTGTGCCTACGCATCCAAAAATCGATCGATCGAATCGACCAGTGTGTGTGTGCGCGTGCTGGGCCCACATGAACGGGTGCCTTGTCAGTGTCAGGGGCCCAGGGGTTTTGGCAAACGGTTGCAGCTAAGCTAACCCTCTGTGGATAAGCCAAAAGCAGTGTGGGTCTCATGCCTTTTCTGCTTCAGTGACCAGCTTGGCCGGGTTGGGTTGGCCGTCTGATCGGTCTGGTCCAATTTTGTCTCTGTGCCTCTAGTGTTTTAGGCTTTCAGTTTCTTCGCTGAAGCTTTCTTCTTTTCTGTGATGCTGACTGAATTTGATGCCCAGTTTATTTTTGAGGTTTTTGTGGTTTTTGAGTGTTTTTGTTTTGGGTGTTATGCTGTATTGCTGTCATATGATGTGATGTTTGTTGAACAGGTACTGCTCCAGTGTAGAGTTAAAACCTCTCTCTTTCAGGTTCAGGATGGTGAGCAGCAAGGAAGGGAATAAATTCTTGAGGATTTTAGATCAGTAGTAGTACAATTCTTTTAAAATGGTTAGCTACCAATTGATTGCTTTGTTGGGGGTGGTCATAATGTACTTTTAGCTTAGGAGTACTGGGGAAACAAAATCTTGTCGATAGGGTGTTGTGTACATCTGCAGTTGGATGCATGTTGGAATCTGTAAATCTGAAGTTGTTAGAAGAAGCAGCAGCAGCAGCAAATTTTTACTAGCTCGTTTGAACTTCAGATGCAAGTGCAAAACTGAGCACTTGAACTTTGAACACCTTCAGGAATCAGGATGATCAGCCACAAGGAAGGAATTCCGAATTCATGAGGATTTTAGGTTTAAGCCCATCAGTTGAAAACTTGAATTGCACAATAATCACCATTTTATCAACAGTTTGTTTTCAAAGGGTGTTGTGTAGAGTGCAACTCAGCTTATGTCAGCTGTAATTTGCAAATCTGAAATTTGTTAATTAAAAAAAAATCAGACTTTAACTTGCTCGTCTGAGCTTCAGATGCAATTGCAAGACTCATACAGACACTGATCTTCCTTCTTTGAACAGGAAGAACAAGTCAAGTCTAATTTAGAGCTGATAAACTAAAATCTTACAAAAGAGAAATAAAAAAGGACCGCACTAAAATACTCCAAGTCCATAATCCAAATACCTAATTGCGGTCCAGCTTCCATTGCTTCAAATATCTGCAAGGGTACATAGGGTTGCTAGCTATACATCCCCCCTCGCTTGCAACTTGCCGAAGGTTAATTGCTCACACTGTTCATCATTTTATGATGAACTAACTTTAGCAACTTGGAAAGGAAAAAAAAGCGCATTTCATTAAAAATTAGCACCCCCTATTAATCTATAGGATCTAATGGAAGTAGAGAACTGTACATGACAATGTAGGGTCATACTAAGGCAACTATTATCCAAATAGAAATATTCATACGCACCTCGAGATGTAAAGCCAATGTTATTGCCCATAAGGTTTGGTTGAAGCTGTGATGAATGATTATCCATTTTTCATCCAAAAAATAGCCATATGGATCAGCAATTGCACATACTAAAACCTAGAGAAAATTTGCTGCTTTAAAAGCCCAGCCCAGCTGAGCATTGACCAACCATTAACAGATGTCAGAGAAAAGTAAGCCAATGAGGTTTACTGTCAATTTGCGGATTAAGTTATTCACAATGCTTATAAACTAAGCTATTTACATGTAAACTAGCATCTTTGAGAGGAAAGCGAGGTAGACATCAATACATTGGAACAAAACTCTCAAAAACCTGGATTCAATGACCAAAGGAACCAAAGATCTCAAGTCCAGATATAGATATGATGCTTGTCAGCGGTAGCAAGAGGTCCTAACCCACACCATGAACTTGAAACTACCGACGAAGAATGGCCCTGTAGGATCGTCGGTACCCCATCCTTTTTCAATCTTGACCATATGTAAACAGACCCATCATTAGCACCAGCAGCTATGGAGTTTTCATCAGGGCTTATGCAAGGCCTGCCCCAGCTGCTAACCACTCTGTTACCCATGGCCTTGAATTTTCCACAAACTTCCATTGTTCTAGGATCAAAAAGGTTGTGCACGTTATCCTTTCCACTTGTAAGAATGAAATTTCTATTCCGTGACACACTGACAGAGCTTACGTCAAGATGAGCGAATGTCTGACTAGTGCATTTTGCACTTCGGATGTCCCATAACCGAAGGTGTCCATCCCTATGACCCGAGCAAAGGGTGACACCATCAATGAAAGCTAGTGAGTTGGCGTTGCTCCCTGACATTATGGTGCTTTTGCAGAAGCCTGACTGAAGATCCCAAATCTTGATGGTATGATCATTGGATGAACTAGCAAGAACACAGCTCTTCACCCAGCTTGCATCAACGGATGAAACATTTTTTGTGTGACCAGTCAGAGTGTGACGTGGGCGCCCCCCATTAACTTCCCATACAAACAATTTGTTAGAGCTACAGGCAGCAATCACAAACTTGTTGTCATTAGTCACAGCAAGATCATTGACAGACCCCAAACAGCCTTGTAGAGTGGAGGTTAAAGCACCGGTATGTGCAGACCAAATCTTGACAGTTTGATCCTGGCCACCACTGATTAGCTTGTCTGTGTTATGCTGGAAAATTATAGATCCACAGCCACCATCATGAGCACGGATAGTGATTCTGCATGTAGATGGGATTGGTGTTTCCATGATGTCCATGTACCCAGCTTCAGAACGACGAATGATGCCATCAGCTTCTTGTAGTGCATTGTGTTGTATACCACCAACACCAGCTGACTTCAGCTTTAGAACCATCTCCTCATACATTGCATTTGCCTGAACAAAAAATTTCCCCCCATTTAAACTGATAAATGCTTGGTACCTACTAGTACTGTGGGACCAGTTATCAATGTAAAGCATAGTAAAATAGATCTTCGGCTACTAAAACAATCATCGATATTTAGTTAGTTCTTCTACTCCCACTTATGCTATAGAAGCAAAAGAGTTTGAACATGATGTACATATAGAATTGATTCGACTGTCGTGACTAACTGTTCGGTTAAATATCAAGGGGGAAGTATTTGAAAACTGTCTAAAAAGAGCCATTTCCGCAGACAGCGCACAGTAGTCAAGCAAAATTAAAGAGCAAAAATATTCTAACATAGTAATTTGCCATCCAAATATGATGGGAAGATGGTAAATTATAGTGCACAAAATCTCCTGTGTTATGTCATGGAAAGCATGATGGTACTTTAAGTATCTCAATTGTACATCCACTACAACAATGGTAGGGATCCATGCATAACATGCAAATTTTTTTCTTGGCCATTTTAGCCTACCAGGCCCTTAAAAGGGAAAATATAATCTTGATTTGCAACACCATAAAATAGAAAGCTGCGGTTTTAGTAACAAGAAAATAAGGTACCTCATTAAGCCTCTCTGCATCCTTCATCTTCTCAAGCATCCATCGATCAATCAGATTCCTGTTTTCATCTTCTGCCACTTTCTGTTTTGTTAATGCCTGTTCAAGTTCAGCTTTAACTGCCTGGTGCTCCTGAATTATAAGATCTAAAGCGCTTGTTTTTTCTTCAAGCGACTGCTTGAGCTGCGTATTTTCTTCCCTACAAAAGTGTTTGCACAAAATGTCAGCTGCGTATTTTCTTCCCTACGACCACAACCAAACATTGTATTCAATCCAATACCTGGTTTGCTCGAGTTCAGTCTGCATGGTAGTAATCAGTGTTTCTTTCTCTTTAAGCAGCGCTTTTGATGCTTTCCCCTCTTCTATCTCGGTAACGAGCTGCTCGGACAAACGTGACTGAGCCTTGTAGCATTGCTGCAGCTCCAATTCATGCTTCTCAGCCTTCTCTTTCCACTCCACCGCCTACAAGGAAACGAAATAAATAAATAAACAAGCCCACCAAAAAAAAAAAATCTATGCACACAATAATATCTAAATTTTTGGGTTTCTTGATCTCCAGATGAAGCATCTATGGTACTTAGCAAAAGCATCATTATCGAGGCACGGTTTTTTATACAAAATTTTCCATTCCATTATGCAAAGCAAGAAAAAAATATATGCAAAGATGGGAAAAAAAAGGAGACATGAGATTGGTATTTTTACTTGGGCGGCGAAGGGCCGGGCGAGCGCCTCGATGGCCGGGCGGTGGGCGCCCTCCTCGACGAGATGCCTCCGCCGCAGAGACCGCAGGGCTCGCCGGATCGCCTCCTTGCCGGCCTCGGCCTCCACCATCGTCCTGCACCCAAATTCACTCCCCACTTAAGCAGAACAAGAACAGAAAAGAAATCCATGGAACGGCTCCTGCTTCCAAGAAAACCTCACATTGCCGGGTGCAATCCGTCGGCGAGGAGGTCCGGTGGCTTCCGGCGGAGGAAGAGGAGGTCGCGTGCGGCGGGCGTGCCCGGCGGCGAGGTCGTCGGATTCGGTTGGGGGAGCAGCGGCGGCGAGAGGATCAGAGGAAGACGAAACCGGGGAGGAAAGCAAAAGCAAAGCAAGCGAAGACGGCTTCCGGGCCGCGAGTTGGACTCGGACCCGACCGGATATGGTCCCGGATTGGGCCTCAACGGCATGTGATCTTGTGGCCCATTAATGGCTCGCGTCGGCCTAATTTTGTGGCCCACGTAACATAGGCCCAGTAAGAATCGGATGGAATATTCCGGCCTTGGTGTCCACGCGAGACTTTGCCCTTTTATTTTCTTTCTTTTTTTTTTCCTTTTTCAATCACCTCCGCTTCCTCCGCCGCCTCGGCGCGAAGGCCATCGCCGGATTCCCCGCTTCCTCCGCCTGGATTGCTCCGCACGCAATCGGCCCTGGTTTCTTCCCGGCGGCGTGGTCGTCGCTGTTCCCCACCCGCCGCCGGCGCCGCCGCAGCCGGCGTCTGAGTTGAGGGAGGAGGGAGGAACGGCGGCGCAATGGCGGTGGCTGCGGCGCTGCTGCGCCGGAGGGCGCTCTATTCGGCCCTCGCGTCGCCCTCTTGGCTCCATGGTTTGTGCTCGCTTTCTCTGATGTGGCATGTTGGAGTGTTTCCTTTTTCATGTTTGTTGGAGGTGTGCCTTGTGCGGCATGTGTATGGCGAAATGCCAAAATGAGCGTGCCTCGAGGCACGCTCATTTTCGATCATGGCAATGGTAGTATCTGCGTTGCTAGGTTTCTATAGATATGCTATGAGTGGTGTAGTAGGTCTATGTTGCATAATTGATTAGAAAAAGAACAGTCAAGGATTATATAGGTCAGATGCAACTCTTTTTGGGGGAAAAGGAAACGTTTTTTCCCCTGTATTTACAATTTACTTGTTATTCTGATGAACGGATTATATCTGTTGAGAGATACTTATATTTTGGGAAACATAACCTTAATATATTAGTACTGTTGAACACCGCGAGGAAAAGTTCTGCTTTGGATGGACATTTCGTCTTTGATAGCGTAACTAATTTCAGTGGCAAAGTCCAATGTTCTGTAGGACACATTTGCTCATAACTTGTGGTTTACATGGTATATGCTTCTCATATAGATACCAGTTCCTGCTACATTTGCTCCATTTCTGGTACACATTCTTTGGTCAACCATCCCAATTTGAGATTACAGAGGGGCTACCACAACTCTGGGAAGTTTGATTTGACCGACTTGACGTAAGAATCCATCTTTCTAGCCTTCTTTTACGTATATCGAAGTCGATTTTCCTACAGATTCCTTTGAGTTTATGAATTTTGTATCGTACATTCAATAGACTCCATGTTTTGACTTCCAATCTAGTGTGGGATGCACAATATTTTAGTTTCCTTAAATTTACCTTCACACTTGCCATAGTGAAATATAATTTTCACATTTATTTTACACACCACGATCTAGTGTAGAACAGTTCATATTCTCCTAAAGAATCTAAATATTTTACACACCACGATCTAGTGTAGAACAGTTCATATTCTCCTAAAGAATCTAAATAAATGCTGTGCTTCTTTTGAATAATAGCCATCCTCATATATGGTATCCGAATGCCCGAGAAAAGAAGCGCAATGTATTTTTACATGTCGGTCCTACAAATAGTGGGAAGACACATAATGCTCTCAAGAGACTAGAAGCAAGTTCTTCAGGTACTACTTTGTTCTACTTAGTGATAATAAATTAATATACAATTATGATGATTTCTCAGAGCTATTGATGAATTCTGTAGGAGTATACTGTGGACCTCTTAGATTGTTGGCACGGGAGGTAGCTCAAAGACTAAACAAAGCTAATGTCCCTTGTAACTTAATTACTGGACAAGAAAGGGAGGAAATTGAAGGTGCAAAGCATAGCTCAGTGACAGTTGAGATGGCCGACATGACAACTGAGTATCAATGTGCCGTTATTGATGAAATTCAGGTACTTCAACCTTCTTTCTGTAGATATGCTAATTAAATGTATATTCATAATACAAACAGTAATTAAGAGAATTGTCATCCCATTTTTTTGGACTACATCATCAAGCCAGTCATATTTTTTACTGTAATATTCCTCATCATTCTCATGTTATCTTCTTCTGTTTAGTAGATGGTTGGCTGTAGATCGAGGGGTTTTTCATTCACTCGTGCACTTCTGGGGCTTTGTTCAGATGAGCTTCATGTTTGTGGTGACCCAGCTGTGGTTCCTCTCATTCAGCGAATTCTCGAACCTACTGGTGATGTGGTTACGGTAATTTCGTTGAAACTCACATAGTTAAATTGAAGTGTATTAATATGACTCTGCCAGAATGATGTTAGTTGCAAAGTTAGATTTGTTGACATTGGTGAAGACATTAGGTTTTGTGGATAACTTAGATGATGTAATTACCTAGTTTGGGATGAAACAGTAATACTAAATCGCATGTTCTTGCAAGTGTAAGTTTTTTTTTACTGTTTTCAAAGCTCCATGCTTAATATGTTTCAACTCATTCCATTTTAACTTAAGATACACAATGATTTTATGGATTATCATTGGTGGATAGCATCAGCAATCCTGTAACCTCTGTTACTCAACTTATCCTTAGCCACACCAATTTGAGGTCCCGTCCAACAATTTAGATTGCACCCCTGGATAGTAACACTACTTCTGGACCTCCATCTGAGAAAGTAATGTGCAGGCATGATGTCATATATATCTGTCTTTTGTTGGTGATTAGCTGATGTTTTGTATTTGCAGATAATATTCCAAGTGAACTCGAGAAACTGTTTCTTCTCAATAGAATTTGTTGAGCTGTCTAATGTTTATTTTGGTGTTAGTACTGATACACGCATCATGTCGTCAAATATTCCGATTTGCTGGCTGTATGTCTCTATGCAGGTCCAATATTATGAGAGGCTATCTCCATTGGTTCCTCTGAAGACTACTCTCGGGTCTTTCTCTAACATTAAGGCAGGGGATTGCGTTGTAACGTTCTCACGACGATCTATCTATATGCTTAAGGTTGGCATTCTTCAGATAACTGTTGCAGAATATACTGAAATAATATCTATCTGACCTGTGTCCTGCAATTAAAAGAGTAACCAATAGATATCCCCTGCAAATTGTTGCCAGAAAATGTAAATAATAAGCTGAGAAAGTCTCATTATTTTTTTTTGGTGAAAGAGAAATGATCCAAATGCCATGTTTGTTAAACCTATCATCGTAACTTGATCTTTACCTGTAAATTTTGAAACAACAAACTCTCACCAGCATAACAACACACCCCTCTGGCCTCTGCATACCCTCACGTGTATCTGGTACTCCACTAACTTTATCATTTCACTTTTTTATTCTCTCCTTCAAAGGGGGGGGGGATCACTCTATTGACTTAAGAAATGGGACATATTTCTCGCTATACACTTAAACTCTTTGAATTTTGATTCACAACACTACAGTACTATACTAGTATGGTTGGCAGTGAAGGGTACTAGATAGCCCCCATTACAGAAATGATGAAAAGACAAGGGAAAACTATGTACGAACCTGTAAAGCTACTTAAGTAATGCAACTATGTACGGAAGATGTAGGCATGTAACAGGGACTAGGGAGAGCTGTGTTGTAGTAGTCAATATGATAATTACATCATGTTGTGAGAGCAGCGATAGCTTTGTAGCATGTTTTGACAGGTTGGCTAGTCCATCGATAATTTACTTTCTGTTTTACATAAATGCAAGTTGAAATCTATTAAGTCATCTAATCATGTTTCTTTTTGCTTTTCTTCTCATGGTATTTATTGAATTTAACACTCCAATCGAAAGACTGGATATAAAGATTGCAAATCCATGATATGAAAAATATGAATCAATTAAGTTAGCTTAGCCAGGGGCAGATCAAATACACAAGGATCAGAGTGCAGTGACCATCATGTCTGCTGCACAAACCCAAAAAGATTATGCTCACTGTGACATTACAAATCATTGTTGATTTATACCCATGGTGGGACCCTGATAACTTGCTGCCCTAGATCTGCACTTGAATTAAGCGACTGCAAACTAAGATACATAATGTAATGTATCAAAGCATCCTCATGTTGTGATTATTACGAAAATTAATCATCTAGCATATGAAGTAATATATGAAAGCTCAACTACATTTCTTATATTTAAAATGTCCGTGCAGAGAAGAATTGAAATGGGGGGTAAGCATCTTTGTTCTGTAGTCTATGGCTCATTGCCACCAGAAACTCGAACAAAACAGGTACTTCCCTCACTTGGTTATCTGCTACTACACCATTGTAGTTGATGCCTTGTTCTCACGTCTCTAGGTCCTTATCTAATTAAAATTTACAGCTAAAGCACCAAACGTTTCATTTTTAATATATTAACATGTATATGCCATGTTTTGCTTGGCTTATGCTCAATATATTTATATTTTAAAATTCCATCTTGCTGATTTTCTTCCATTAATAAAGTTTATTTGGTCTCTCATATCTGAGTCACATGATTGTCTGGATAATGTTTTGTACAATGATTAAAGTCAGTAAAATTAGCGGTGCAGAAGGATTAGAATTTTCTGTTTAATGTTTGTGAGATGAACTTTCAGCTAGCAATTTGTTGATTAATACCCCGTAACAGTAAAGCACAACCAACCACAAATTTTAGCTTGAATTTCAAGAAATCGGTAGTTATGGTTGTAGGAGGCAAAACTTCTCTTGGCATGTTGTGCTTTATTCTTGATGATGCTGTGATGATTTGAAAAAGTTGATAAATCTATTCCCTGAGCTTGCAGGCGACAATGTTCAATGATCAAGATAGTAACCTTAATGTGTTAGTGGCTAGTGATGCTATTGGAATGGGTCTTAATCTGAACATTTCTAGAATCATTTTCTCTACACTGGAGAAGTTTGATGGCATCTGCAACAGGGAACTAACTGTGGCCGAAATCAAACAGATTGCTGGTATTGGATTTGTTTCTTAATAGTTTTGCCTCTGGCAGATTAAGTTTTCCCTCCCCCCTTGTTGCACAGGTACTTGAGCAGTGAATTTGAGATATTCTTCATATTGCAATACTTTGTCTTCATTTTATAGGAAGGGCTGGGAGATATGGATCTAAATTCCCAGTTGGTGAAGTGACCTGTCTAAATTCTGATCATCTTCCATTACTACACTCTGCTCTGAAATCACCTTCTCCCATTATAGAGGTGCTCACCCTGTCCGATGTCTATCTCTAATAGGATGAGAGCTGCACGAATCTTGGTATAGATAACATGCTAATACTGCACTGTACTCTCTGCAGCGCGCTGGACTTTTCCCCACATTCGATGTATTATCTCTGTACTCACGATTGCATGGAACTGATTTTTTTCAACCTATATTGGTAAGCTAGCTAAAGCCCATCCTTCTTAGTACTGTATATGGCAAATTCCTAACACAACAGAGAATAACATTATATATTTATGATTTAGTGAATTGCCATTGTACTACATAAACAATACAAGGGTGTTGCTCTTTTGGCTTTTCTAATTTGGATGATACAGCAAGCTATTCATGCTTTTATAACACTTTAACTGCAAAGTATTACTTAGTTCTTCAGGTGGTTGATGAAGTCATTTATAACTTGGCAACTTTTTCAGTGGCATGGATTGGATTGCTTCTAAAATAAAATTTAGTCATAGTATTAAGATATCCTATTTGTATTTGTTTGGACTTCAGCTTGACTTTGCTTCTCAATAGTTATAAAGTGGAATTTGCTCTTTTTTCTACTTTTCTCTGCCTACCTCTTTCTCAATTACTTGTAAATGCTGTTTTCAACCATTAAATGTATGCCAATGCTTCCTCTGGTCAGGACATGCATCTTACTTATCTTTTCACTCTTATCACAGGAGCGTTTCTTGGACAAGGCTAAACTATCTCCAGACTATTTCATTGCTGATTGTGAAGATATGCTGGTAAGATTCTTTCCCTCAATGAGCACCAATTTCTATATTTGGTCAAATTATCTAGAAGTAAGTCAGTTTTCCATCTCTCAACTCTGTCCAGAGTTCAAATTTCACGCTCAACTCCAAAACCATCTGCTTTGCACTGTCCTATCAAAACTGATGCAAGTCATACTTAATGCAAGCCCCTCATCCCTCCCTCCTTCCCCCTATTTCTCAGTGCTGTGGCCAGGCCAAGCTTGGTAGCACCTTGGTACAGCCTAGATCCAATGCTGAACTAGTTCAAGAGGAAGCTATGAGGAATAAAAAACCTAGCCAGTTAGCCTGCATGCAATACAGGAATAAGGTTAATGAGTCTCATGGCAATATAGCAACTGAAATCGAGAGATGAAACCAACATTTTAAACAAAAAACAAAAGCAATGATGTTATCAGATTGATTTGGACATCAGTAAAGGAGGATATTTGCTTAAGATTAATTTCCGGTTGAGCTTTGACTGTTGTAACTGTTGGAATCTCTGATTTTCCTCCTACATACTCCCTCTATCCCATAATATAAGGCGTGCACATATTTCAAGATTCAACTTTATAAACATTTGACCAACAATTATTATAATATAAATTAAATTTTTATTTGCTAAAATTAATATCATTAGATTGACATTTAAATGTACTTTAAGATGGTTATAATTTTGTTGCAATAAACCTTATAATATATGAGATATTATAAGTTAAAGATTAGTTTTGAAGACTATGCCAAGTTTGACCATGCCTTATATTATGGGATGGAGGGAGTAGTATAGTAGGAAGAGGCAAGAAAAACTTTCTGGCCATGCTGTTTCGATGAGCTTATCAGGCTAATGTGAAGCACACAACCATGGATGCATCAGCCGTTGTGATCTCTTTGACATGTTCATCTTTCCTCATCTCAAATGGTATGGGAAACAGATCTGGTGGTGTTTTCCAATGGTGTGTTTGGTGGCTTCAGCCCAGCTTGATGAGAGGATCTTTTTGCCATGTCATGAAACAGTTGTGTTGTTTGCCCTGCACTGTTAGTGCATGTCCAAATAGTTGCCACACCATGATACTTTTGTAGCCCAGCAGTATTATTCTGCTAACTGACTCATGTTGGTGTTGCTAAAAGGTTCAAATTAGGAAATAAGATACATACAGTTTCATATCAAAATTATTTATAAGGTTAAAGAAATCCTTTGACCTAGAGGAGCTATGGAGAAAGGAACGAGGGAGTGAGAATAAGAGAGAGGAGGAGAAAGACAAGTCTTGTCCTGCTTGGCACTGCTTTTTCTAAAAAGCCAAAATTATGAAATGTGATTTTTGAGAATAATTTAGGTAGGTTTTTTTCAGTTGTCTTCTTAGCTATCATGAAAATAAGGCTGGGCAATGGAAGTGGTGAAGAAAAATCCCCTAACAATAATTCTAAAATCAAATCCTAAACTTACAATGAGACAGCTTTGCTAAGAGGAATAAGTTGGCAGCGGCAGCATGCCTCTTCATGACTCAGCATTCACATCGGCATAGTACACATGAATATACCACTTGAGCAGTTCACCCGTTTAAGGCATGGGCATTGTTTCTATGCATAGTTTTTTAGCTAGAGGTATAATTTACTCAGTATTAGGTTTGTTTTAATGCTCTATAAGGACTTCTATGGAATGTCAAAATCTGATCTCCTGGGTAGAACAGCATTGACAGCCTACTATCAAAACACAACATTTTAGCAAAATGTTAAATTTATAATGATAGTGAACTTTATCAAGCATATTTTTTCCTATTGAGTTGGAGGTTCAAACATTTTGCTTAAAGTAACCTTTATTCCTCATATTTTTAACAGAAAGTTGCTGCTATTGTTGATGAGCTACCACTTGGACTATATGATAAATACCTCTTCTGTCTCAGGTGATCTGTACTACTATGAACCTATAATCCTATATCGATCCATCAATCTGTCCTTTTTGAATGCTATGCTTTTTGGATATCTTTCTCCACAACTGTTGTCCAAAATATAAGCTCAGTTATACACATTTGACACTTTATAATTTGTATCGCAGTCCTGTGGACATTCGTGATGATATATCTACTAAAGGATTAATTCAGGCAAACATTTTTGTACTACTATCATTCAGTTATGTGTTTTGTGGAATCAGGAAACAATTTCACTGATTTTTTTTGAGATGCAGTTTGCAGAAAATTATGCAAAGAAAGGTATTGTTCGACTCAAAGAGATATTTACACCTGGGACACTCCAAGTGCCTAAATCGCACAATCAACTGAAGGAGCTTGAATCGATTCACAAGGTTATTTACATTTTCTCTCTCCAGTATAAAGCAGTACTAGTACATTATCTTGTGAAGGATTTCTGCTATGCATATTATTTCATTCTGTAAAGGTTGCTATCCATCTGTCCCACAGTCACTTTCTATTTCTGTGTACCATTGTCCCCAAACATTTGTACAACAGCATTGATCATGCCAGTCTTCCATTTGTTACACCACTGTCCCTAAACAGTCTGTAGATTTATCTCTGCAAACAGTTTGTACGGTTAGATCGATCACTATGTCAAACGGTTATAAATGCAGGTGCTAGAGTTGTATGTGTGGTTGAGCTTCAGATTGGAGGATTCCTATCCAGACCGTGAATTGGCAGCTTCCCAAAAGTCAATCTGTAGCATGTGAGTTGCATGCAGGGCTTACTTTTTTTTTTTTAATTTGTTTTACTGATAAATTCTTTGGAGGTCTTATTGCTGGCAATATCAGGTTGATTGAAGAATATCTGGAAAGGTCCGGCTGGCAGCAAAATGGACGAAAGGACTTTTTGCAGAAGCCAAAAAGACTACACCAAGAATATGATGCATCACAATTGTATGAACTTTTTCTTTTATTCCAAAATGCACGGTATTATTTTCATTTAATAAAGGGAATGACTATGCTAGAAACATTTAAACTTAAGTCTCAATCTAACTCCACTCATGATATATACCTGATGTGTCTGAACTGAATATGCATGTACTATAGTTGCTCTGCTAATTTTTTTCCCTGCACTTTTAGCATTTTGCATCAGAAAATATACCTATGCCTATGCAATTGATTCTCTATTAAATGGTTATGATGACTTGCGTTGAATGGTACTCCCACACTTGTGGGAGGGCAGAGAAATAAGCTAGATTCCTTATAAACTTTTAAAGAAGTTACAGGTTGTATATAGCATTGCAAAGGAACATATGAAGTTCTAATTATCGAATTGCAATATATTTTCATGCCAACCTGCTGGCAGAGATCATTTTGCTAATTTCGTTTTTCTTCTCTTCATTTCTTTTTGATGAAAAATTGCTAGTGGGATTGCTACATTTAGTTTTCAGTGCCTTTGTTTACTTAACTCTCTTAATGAACAGGCGCAAATATTTTCAAGAAATTGATGTGAGATCAAAATAAGATGCTTATGCTAGAAAGTCGCCTCACAATATCTGCTTCCGGACAACGGATTTGCTCCTGTTTGCATACGTTATGGTCGAGGAGAGGCGACAAGCCGACAATACATTTTATGGATGACAGGAGTCAAAAGAATATCCTTTGCCGACAATACATTTTATGGATGACAGGAGTCAAAAGAATCATCCTTTGCCAAAACCATTTAATTGGCCTAAGCAGTAAATGTGGCAGCACCTGTCCTCCATCCAAACAATTTTGTAGCTATTCTTTCATTACACTTTATTTTAATTATTTCTAACACAGATGGAGCTGTACATCACGATGAAACGTCTAAATGTTCGTTAAAGTTATTAACATAGACAGGACGAAGCCACCTGTAAACTTTGCGGTTGTAACTCTTTGTGTTATGAAAGGTGTAAATATGTCAAAATGACAGTTGTCAAGTGATGTTTCTTGGGCAGCTAAACACCTGATTTGTGCATGCCAAATCGCTTTCCTGTGATGTGCCAGCAACATGCCTATATGTGCCAGAGCGCAAGCAAAACTTCATCATGAATCAACCAGTTGCCTTCTATCTCATTGTATCAGACGTAAAAGATGATATCAGTTGTTGGTGATGAATGCCCTTAATGCTTCATTGAAACTGCTATTATCAATGTACTCAGTAGTTTCTACTCCCTTATAAGTTGCTTTGACTTTTTTTGGTAGTCAAACTTTTAAGTTTGATCAAGTTTATGAAAAATTTAGCAACATTTAAAACACTAAATTAGTTTCATTGAATCTAACATTGAGTATATTTTGGTAATATGTTTGTTTTGTGTTGAAAATACTACTATATTTGTAAAAATTTAGTCAAGTTTAAAGAAGTTTGACTAGAAAAAAAAAGTCAAAACGTTTTATAATATGATACGGAGGGAGTATGCAACATAGCAGTAACTGTAACAATTGAAAAGTAGGATAGTTACTGAATCACAGTCGCATTTGCATAAACATTCCAATGAGCAGTACATATTAAGTTTGCATAAACATTCCAATGAGCAGTATATTAAGATTCATGACCACAGGTGTTGTACAACACAGCACAATGTTGTCCACCATCAGTGACCTCTCATTGAAAGGACTCCATATGCTTCAGATTTGTTACCTGCGTCCTGAGAACTTGAATCTTTTTGTACACTGACTGCAGATTCCTCTTCTCAAGCTTCTCCATCACAAGATCAAATGTCTCCTGCTTTGGAGCAAAACCCTTTGACACCATTTCCTCCAAGAACAGGCAAGACTGGGCAACCTTCCCATTTCTGCACAGCCAGCTTACCAACAAGGTGTAAGTGCTGAAATCAGGGCTAATGTCCTTTCTAAACATATGGCACACTAGGAACAGAAGTATCTTTACCCACTGTCTTTTACAGCACAGCTTCAGCAATGGCGTGTATGTCTTTATGTCTGGATTGCATGACTGCTCCTCCATCTTAACCAGAAGCTTCAGGGCATTCTCTGCCTGAGAGTGGTCACAAGCAGCAGAAATCAAGGTGTTGAAGGTAGTGACGTTAGGGGCGATTCCAGTTGTGCGCATTTCTTCAACCACAGAGTATGCATCTTCCAACCTCCCAGCTCTGCCAAGTATGTAGATCAGGGAGTTGTAGAAGGAAGCATCTGGAGCAACACCATCTTCCTTCAACTTGTCAAAGGTATCCAAAGCTTCTCGCGTTCTCCCAGCCTTCCCCAGTGCATGCATCAAAATGGTATATGTAACAACATTTGGGGGACACCGCCTCTTGCGCATCTCGTCCAAGAGAGCGTAAACAGTCTGAAAATCTTTCTCCATGCAGTATGCTTCTACCAGGCTGGTATAAGTCACCACTGAAGGACTGAATCCATGCTGCTTCATCTCCTCCATTGTGTCTAGAGCTTCCTTCAGCATCCTTGCCTTACACCAACCATGCACGAGAGTATTGAAGCTGTTCTCGTCTGGAGGTATTGTTCCCCTCAGCTCTTGGAAGACGCCTCTTGCGCGCTTCACGCTCCTCTCCTTGCACAGTGTGTCCAGGAGCACATTCATGGCCTTTGTATCCTTCACAACTCCAAACCGATCCATCTTATGGAAGGCGTCGATGGCCTCGGTCCATCGACTTGCCCCAGCAAGCCTTCTCATCACCTTTGTCATCGTCATGAGCGACATCAAGCCTCCAACCTCAACCATCTGATTGATCAAACCCCACATCAGATCAAACTGCTTGAACTTCCCCAGTATATCTACCATCAAGTCATATGAATCGGCACAATGGCAGTACCCTCCCTGAGTGCCAACCCACATGAAGAACCCGAATGCCGCCACCCAATCATTGCTGAACCTCGTCAGGATCTTGTCAACAAGGCAGCCAGTGACCCTTACAGAGCAGCAGTCCATGGCTATCATAATGGCCTCAGGAGACGCGAAACGAGCACTAAGGATCCTGCTGACCTCATCGATGTCGGCCTCGAACTCAGCATCCTCATGGGAGGCAGTTGCAGGAAAGCCAGGGCGGATCGACAGCGACCTGGAGGTGCTGCTCTGGCTTCTTCGCTCATCCGAGACGTTGGGTTCAGTCGGGAGCACAAAAATGTCGTCCTCCTCGTCATCCAAGCCGGCGCATGAGCCATCGTCCTTGGGGTTCCTGAACCAGTCGGGGAGGTCGAACCCGGTGGTAGAGAAGCGTGTCGCGGAGAGCCTGCCGCCGCTATGAGACACGAACTTGAGAGACGGAGGGAAAAAAATTCGGCCGCACCGGCGCATAACCTCTCTCTGGCTTGGAGGAGACCAGGTGGGCAAATCGTCGAACACCTCTCGTGCGCGGCCAAACAACACCTCTCTGAATCCTCTCTCTCTCTCTCTCTCTCTCTGCCGCCCCGGCGGCCGGCGCGACCTCAAGTGCGGGCAAAGACTACAGCTCGGGAGGTGATGAGATCGAGCTTACTCGATGCGTGTGAATGGCAGCGGCGCGCGCAGAAGGTGGAGGTGGAGATTGGGGAGAAACGAAGCGGGAGAGGAGGGGGGCGCGAACCGCGAATAGGCGGCGTCTTCGCCCAAACGCGCCCATGTCCGGATCGTGCGGCCCCGTGGGAAGCGCATAAGACGACGGCGAAGGGGCGCGCGGTCGCCGGCCGAGTAGATGGATGCACGGGGACGCGATATGTCGCCGGACCTCACCGGCGCCGATCCGGGAAGGCGAAGGTGGGACCTCGCCGGCGCGAAGAGGCGAGGGAGGAAGGAGAACTTGGAGGCGGCGGCGACACGGCGGTGGGATCTCCGACCTCGCCTCGCCGGAGCTCAGCTCACCGGAGGCGGACGGAGCGGGAGAAAGAGGGAACCAGGAGAGGAGACGGGATAGCGCGAGCCGCGAGGTAATGGGCTGGGCTGGTATGGGCTGGGTCTTAAAGCCGCAAAACCACATGGCCCAGGTAAAATAGGCCCGAACATAACCAAATATGGGCCAACACGTAAGCTGCAACGCCGGTCGGACCCAACTAGAATGAGCAGCCCATCAATATCTGCAAGCCCAACATAGCTCGTTTTAAAGTAGAAAATTTGAGATAAAGGTGGAGTATTCCCCTTCCCTTCGCGTAAAAAAAAAAAATCTCCCGTCTCGTCTCCTCCGCTCCTTGCGCCATCTCGCGGCCGAACAGGGGTGGGGCGCCGATCTCCATCTGGCGATAAGCTCAGTGGAGGGGAGGGGATCCTGATGAGCATCTACATACTCTTTTTTTTTTTTTGAAACGTAAAGAGGGACTTTATTAATGACCGAAATGTGGGTTACATTCTTGGTTCAATAGCTCAAGAATTTCTGCTGGGGCACAGAGTCTCCATTCCAGACAGTTTCCTGAGCTAAGAGCCATCTGAGCTAGAGTATGGGCTACTTTGTTTGAGTCCCTCTTTATATGGGCCACTTCCACTGCTTGCAATCCTTGCATCGCTGCTTTCGCCTCCATAATTACTCCTTCCCACACTGATCTTGATGAATGCTTCGTTTTCAGTCTTGCTACCACCTCTGCATTGTCTGTTTCCAAGATAACAGGCATATGTATCCATTGCAACGCACACCGGATACCTTCAAGGCTTGCCAATGCCTCTGCCTGTTCTGCAGAGCTACACGGATGCAGTGTTTTGCATGCCGCTAGCAGGATGAGACCTCTGCAATCTCGTATTACTATTCCTGCACTCGCTTCCCCAGTTTCCATCCTGAACCCGGCATCAACATTAATTTTCGCCGCTCCATCAGGTGGCGCTATCCATCCGCTGCTCTGCTTTTCTGCCATGTGCTTCTCCTTCTGACCTTCACTGTACATTGGCTTCTTTCCTTTTATGTCATCAGGCATTTGTCGGTTTGGGAGCAGTACCTCCTCATAACTAGTGAGAAAACTCACTGAGCCTGCTATCGAGCATCTCCCATCACCATGGATCAGGTCATTTCGCAGATACCAAGCTCGCCATAGCATGTACATAATGTGAGTTCTTTGCTCTTCGTTTACACCATCTAACAGAATCAACAACCAATCCGGTCCTGTCCATAAAAATTTGTCTTCCCCAGGCAAGTGCCAAACTGCTCGCAGGGCTTCTCTTAACGCTCTAGCTTTAGTGCATTCAACAGTTGCATGGTAACTATTTTCTCCCTTCGTTCCACAGACTGGGCAGGTCCCATTCATTTCAATTTTCCTTCTTCTTTTATTCTCCCAAGTTGGCAATTTGTCTTGGGCCAGCTTCCAGATAAAGATTTTTACTTTGGCCTGCACCTTTGCATTCCATACTCTGCTCCAAATCTTCCTTTCACCTGATGTAGCAGTGCTAGAAGAGGATTGAACTACACCTTTCCCTGATAGGTTCCAAGCCAACTTGTAAGCACTCTTCACAGTAAATAGACCTGACTTCTCATGGTGCCATGCCGGGAAGTCATCCATTTGATGGTTTGGAAGTCTGATTTTCAGAACCTCATTCGCATCCTCCTCTTTGAGAACATGTCGGACTAGTGTCTCGTTCCAACATCTGTTCTCTTCATTAATGAGCTCATTGACATAGATAAGTCTATTTCTTCCCTTCTTTTCCAGGACATTGATATGCTCCCCATGTGGAACCCATTTGTGTCGCCATATCTTTATGTTATGGCCATTGCCGACCCTCCATATGGTACCTTGTTTGAGCAGGTCCAGACCATGTTGGATTCCTTTCCAAACTGACGATGACACTGTTGGGAAGGCAGTGTCCACAAGATTTCCATTGGGGTAATATTTCGCCTTGAACACTCTCGCACACAAGCTGTCCGGGGAGGTGAGCAGCCTCCAAGCTTGTCTAGCTAGCAGTGCTTGATTGAAGCACTTCATATCCCTAAAACCAAGACCACCATGAGATTTGGGATATAAGATCTTTTCCCATGCTATCCAGTGGACCTTCCTTTCCCCATTATCATGTCCCCACCAGAAGTTGCGAACCATCCTGGTATAATCATCGCAGAATTTATCTGTCATCTTGAAGACCCCCATAATATAAGTAGGCAACGCTTGTGCCACACTTTTGATCAGTACTTCTTTTGCCCCTGACGACATATATTTTTCATTCCAATCCGACATCCTTTTAGATAACTTATCATTTATCGGTTGGAACTGTTCTGCTTTCATCCTTCCATCTGGTGTTGGCAACCCCAGATATTTCTCCTCAAAGGTTGAACTATGCACCTGCAAGGCACTCTTTATCTCATCTTGACGTTCTTGTGGACAGAATTCACTAAACAGCAGAGAGCACTTGCTAGGATTGATAAGTTGCCCAGTGCTATTTTCATAAGATTGAGAGCTTTTTTTATTCTTCTAGCTTGCTCGACCTCCGCTTTGAAGAATAGAAGACTGTCATCCGCGAACAACAGATGCGAAATTCCTGGTGTTGCCCGGCAAATCCTGATAGGCTGGATGAGGCCATCTGTTTTGTATCTTTCCAAGATATTTGATAGACCATCTGCAATCAAGAGGAATAGGTATGGACTCAATGGATCCCCTTGCCGGAGTCCCCTCGTTGGAGCAAAAGGATCAAGCAATTCTCCATTAAAACGCACACTGTAACGAACTGAGGTTACACATACCATGATCCATCTCCTCCATTTGTCACAAAAGCCCAGTCTCTCCATCACACCATTCAGGAATTCCCAATCAACTCGGTCATATGCCTTTGAAAGGTCTAACTTTAGGGCACAAAAGTTTTGGTTCTCCCGTTTACAATTCTTAATAGAATGAAAGCATTCAAAAGCTATTAGAGCATTATCAGTAATGAGTCGCCCTGGAATAAAAGCACTCTGAGCTTCCGATATTATCTCTTGTAACATAGGTCTCATTCTGTTAACTAGGCATTTGGCCACCACCTTATAAACCACATTGCATAAGCTGATCGGTCTGAAATCCTTCATATCCTCCGCCAAGTTCTTCTTTGGAATCATAACTATCACTGTATCATTTACACCTTCTTGCATTACTTCATCCTCGAAAAAATTCCTCACAGCTGCTATCACTTCGCCCTTTAGCAGACCCCAGTTTCTTTGGAGGAATCTGGCCGGAAATCCATCCGGTCCTGGGGCTTTTAGCGGACCTATTTGGAACAAAGCATCACTTATTTCTTCATTTGTAAAGGGCTTAATCAGATCCGCGTTCATTTGCTCACTTATCTTCTCATGGAACATATTGAGCAAGTTTACCGGGTTCAAGTTATCATCCTTGGTGTATAGCTGCTGAAAAAAACTTCGATTTATTTCCTTCATCTCCTTCTTGTTCATTGTCGTCGATCCATCATTCTTCTTCAGCTTTTTGATCTTGTTTTTCTTAGCTCTCCAGGAAGCTTTTAGGTGAAAGTACCGTGTATTTAGATCACCTTCTTTCAGCCACGTGATCCGTGAGCGCTGTTTCCACCATATTTCCTCCCTGTGTAACATCTCTTCTAACTCCTTCTTCACACTATGGACCTCGTTATCAGTGTCCAGCAGTCCTATGTTTCTCAATTCTCCTAGCTTCTCCCGTAAATCCTTGATTTTCTTCCGTACATTCCCTATCTTGTCTTTGCTCCAGCTGACAAGCTTGGTCATAGTGACCTTCATCTTATCATTAATATCACCCAAGGTAGATGCATCAGCACCCATCGTCCACGCTTCCTGGATTACCTCAGGTAGTGATGACTCTCTCTCCCATACTTCTTCATATCTCATAATCTTCATTGGTCTTGCCAATGTTGTTTCCTCTCTTTCGAGAAGCAAAGGTGCATGATCTGAACTTGGAGTAGTTAAATGTGTAATGACAGCCTGCGGAAAGCGCGAGCTCCAGGCAGGAGAAGCTACTCCTCGATCAAGCCTCACTTTAACATTGCGGCCCTCCCTTTGCATATTACAAAATGTCCATGGGGCACCCTGGAAACCTATATCATGAAGATCGCATTCCGATAAGACCTCTCTAAAGTCTCTCATCTGTGATTCAGATCTTTTCCTGTGAGATTTATGCTCAGTCTGCCACATTGCTTCATTAAAATCACCTATCATCAACCACGGGTCTCCTGAATTTGATCTGATTCTCCTTAACAAGCTCCACATTAGATGCCGGTCCTGGGCTCTTGGCTCCCCATAGACAAATGTTGCTCGCCATGTGCAGCAATCCAGCTCCGTGATCAGAACATCTATGTGTCGAGAATTGTAAGATTTGAGAACCACATTCATACTTTCATCCCAGAATAATGCGAGCCCACCTCCTTTCCCTACTCCATTTACTGTGAAACATCTTCGCAACCCAATACGGTTTTGCACCATATATTGGTCTTGTCTAGTTTCCGCAAGGAAAACTATTTTCGGACGATGTATCTGTACCAAACAGACTAGGTCATGAACTGTCCGAGGTCGTCTAAGTCCCCGGCAGTTCCAACTTAGGATACACATTAGGCCCGGCGGTGCTCCTCCGAGGAGCCCGCCGATGTTGCCAAGTCGCTATTATTTTCCCCTTCATTCTTGTCCCCTCCTTTCTATTCATCTCTCTCTCCCACCGGGAATACTTGCGTTAACCCTAGCTTCTCTTCTATAGTTGGAATAAACTATTCTCTTATTTTCAGAGCTTTAACCTTAATACAAGTACTCCCTCCGTTTAAAAAAAATCCAATTCTAAGTATAAATTAAGTATTTATACACAGATGTTTCCAGGTACATACCCAAAATTGAGTATTTTTCCCCATGTCCCAAGTTGATCCTACCCTGATTTGAAACACACAATGTTAGAAAAAATATATATATATATATATATATGAATAGAATGTCACGTCTTATTGAATCTATCATACATGCAGTTAATCCCGATGAATTGGTTAAAAATATTAGTTTGGTAGCATTATTAAAAAAACATAGATGAATT